GAGTGGGAAAGGTCAGAAGAAAAAATAAAATGACAGACGGAAAGGCGTGATCAAAGAAAAGGTCGGAAAGAACGACAGGACTGAAGGAAGGAGGACGAGTTGGTCCACTTTTAGGCCATTACTGTTCCACCCTGCAGGATCTACAGAATCATATGAGTGGGTGGGTGGAAGCCAGTTAAACAGGTGATTTAAAATATCATTTTTCTGTTTTCTATTGCAACTCATATATATATATAATTTTACCCCTAAACATAAATGTCTCTGTGTATAAATGAAGTCATGGAAATGGAAGACTCTTACCCCTATAGACTTGAAAAATATTTATATATGTACAAATGAAGCAGAACACGGCGCTCGTATTACTTCATAGATAGATAGAACAATGACATGAGACACATCTTTTATCATAAAGTAAGCAACATATACCCTATTAATGTCTAATAAAGTAACACACCAGTCCACCAATCAACACTTAATATAGGATTAATCCATATCATATGGAAGAAGATATGAAAGAGTAAGAGAGAGATCATCACATGCATGCATAGTATAAATCCTTAAAGTCCTGATGTGGGATTTTTAACACCAAACGTAAGCATAATGAGTAACTGGCTGATGATTGTGTTACCGGTTCTTAAAACGCCGAGAATGGAGCGCCATGAGGAGAATAAAAAAAACGTGTTTATATATATGTGTAACTGTAGATGTGTGGCTGTTCTCATGTCATGTTAGCTCCCTCAGGTTGGTGCTGTTTGGTCAGGTGCAGATAGAGGCTGTTAGCTTCTGTCTTTGCCGAAAAAAGAGAGATTTCTTATAAGATTTAAAGACTGCACAGTACTTAATATATCTGAACTACATGCATGTACAGTTACACACTCATCCATTCACTCAGTCACACACACACACAGGTAGATGCAGCTGTTGAGTGCTATTGAATGCTTCAGGGTCTACGGTTCCCAACAGCAGATGTTAAGAGTAGGCGTTATTAACATAAGGAGATATTTACATTCTTGACCTGAGCAATGCACAGCTCTATGCTTGAGAGAGGCCCACACACAAATTATACTTTATACAGGGAACAAAAATTTAAAACGCAACACTTTTAATTTGGCTCCTATTTTCACAGGTTTAAGTTAAAGATCTGAAGAATTTTTACTCTCAAACTCTCAAATTTTGGTCACACATTTGCTAAAATCCATGTTAGAAAGCATTTCTCCTTTTCCAAGATAATCTACCCTCCTGACAGGTGTGGCATATCAACATGGTGATCAAACACAGGCAGCAACCTCCACCACTTAAAAATTAAGCCAACACGAAAGTGCAGAAAACTGCAGATCCTTGAATCTGAGTCCTGCACCGAGTCTGGTACTGGCAGGTACAATGGGTAGGCTGCAAAAAGTTGCGTAACGGGCACAGGTAAAAAATGAACTACATGTGGCAGTGGATGAGAACAAAAATACGTTTTTAATTTTTCAGAATAAAACAAAAAGATGTGCAGTATATGTATAATATTCTGACATTTCGATCACTATTATCAAGCTGCTATTCCTTTTATTTTGAAAGTCAAAGACACAAGTTGAACCTTTGACCCCATCATCACTGACATGGAGGAATAAAACTTTGTGGCCCGAGGATGAGGTGGCAGCCTACATCAAGTTCAAGACACCCAAGTAGGATCCTTTTGAGCTTTTATGGTGGTGGAAGGAGCATGCTAAATGTTTCCTAACCTGGTAGTGATTGCGCAAAATGTTTTCGCCATCCAGGCATCGATCGCAGCCAGTGACAGAGACTTTTCCTCAGCTGGATTTGTAATTAAAGAACGGAGAACCCGGCTAAATATAAGTGACTGTGATAAAATGATTAACTTTCACGGCAGAAATAAACATGTTTACACCCTGGTACAAAAATGGTTTCGGTCTCTATAGCTAATTTTCCCGTTCATTACAACTGTACAGGGGCTGAATTTTTATGTTACTCACCCGATTACATTTTAATAAGGCCTAAAGTTATGCATAATTTTGTGTGACAGGCTGTCAGTTGTAGTTTCCTTGGCTTCCACCCTCCCGCCTCACTTCAGGCTCCAAAATAACAAGAAATGCCGACCTTGAGGCTTCAAAACAGGAGTCCACAAACCAATGAGTGACATCACAGTAGCTATATCCATTATTTTTACAGTCTATGATTAAAGAGCATGATGACAGGTGTGCCTAGGGACTGTGACAGTAAAGGGCCACTCTGAAATGTGCATGATAATGCACGGCCCTGTGTTGCAAGGATCTGTACACAGTTCCTAGAAAATGAAAACATCCCAGTTCTTGCATGGTCTGCATACTCACCGGACATGTCGCCCACTGATCAGCCTCAGGATGCTCTGGATACGGCTCTACAGCAGTGAGCTCCAGTTCCTGCAAATATCCAGTAACTTTGCACAGCCATTGAAGAGGAGTGGGCCAATATTCCACAGGGCACCATCAACAGCCTGATCAGCTCCATGTGACGGAGATGTGTTGCACCACATGAGGCACAACAGATACTGACTGATTCTTTAGGGGAATCTAAGACCATAAAATACATTTCTGATGCACAAGTCATGTGAAATCCTGATAAGTGTCTTTTTTTCTCAAGATAAAACTGCACATTTCAGAGTACCCTTTAACTGCCACCAGCCCAAGGCACACCTGTGTAGTAATGACCCTGTTTAATCAGCATGTTGATTTGCCACACCTGTCAGGTGGATGGATACTCTTGGAAAAGGACAACTGCTCACTTACATTAATTTTAATAAATTTGTGGCCAAAATTTGAAAGAAATGTTTCTGCTGAGTGCATAAAAGGTCTTTGATCTTTAACTTTAGCCTGTAAAAAATAGGAGCAAAGCAAAAGGGTTGAGTTTAGATTTTAGTTGAGGTTACATTACATCATACAACATCTAAACAGAAGAACAGGACGGCAGAGTCAGATCTAGTGAAATTCCCCAAAGGTGAAAGAGCTAGGAAGGATCCTGTCAGTTTGTGTGTGCTTATATGTATATAAATATGTACAATATATGCATATGTATAAAGTATACATGAGGGTACTGCTTGTGCTGATTAAAGAAGGGGAAAACGTTCTAGGCCTGTGTAATGGACCTACAGTATATGTCTTGTGTGCCTCCAGGAGCGAACATTTCACAGTCATTGTCCGCCTTGTTACGCTTCACCTAATAATTCCAACTCTCAGTCATGGATTGGATCATATAGCTGTCTGTGTGTGTGTGTGTGTGTGTGTGTATGCGTGTGTGTGTGTACAGTACACAGAGCGAGTTGCCATGATAGCTAATGTAATGTGGTTTGAAGCTGGAAGGCAGATTTGCTGAATTTGAGCTGAATTTGAAATAATTGGCTTTATCCAATGAAGCCTTATGAAACGCACACACACACACACACACACACACACACACATACACACACACACAAAAATGAACATACATATATTCTAGCATATGGACGTTTGTCAGAACATGCACATATGTTTATGCCCACAAACACAGCACTAACACACACATACACAGGTGGGTGCGGAGAAGGAAGTGCAAAATAAATAACTGAGAAAAGCAGCATTGCTCTTGTTATTATTGCTGTTTGTGAAATTGCTCACTTGGGGGTTGTCAAAGCAGCTTCTCATTCACTGCATGTGCTTGTGTGTGTGTGCGCTCCACCAGTGACTGCTGCATCGCCAACCCTGTGACACCACGTCATACTAGTCTCCCAGTGAGGCCTTGTCAGAAGTACGGATTAGAGCCAAAACAAAAAATTAATAATAAAAGGAGAGACAACACGGGGAACGGGGGAAGGGAGAAAGGAGAAGGCAAGAGCCAAAGGAAGAAAAAGCAAGAAGAGAAGGACGAAAAGATTTGACAGGCTGTGAAGTTAGCTCATTAGGCATATTCCTCTGTGATGGCCTGGTGTGAGGCTCGGTCTGAGTGTGTGTCAGCAAAGTGCAACTCATGACAGTGCACAAGCTTGTTGAAACAGGCAACGATGGTCAAGACACACAAATTGAACTTATACACAGTGCTACTCATGATGCATGTTAAGATGGCCACCAAGCCTGCATACATTAGCCTCTAGTTATAAGGCTGCAGAAGATACCACTGACATGCAGCCCAGTCCCCAGAAGAAAATGTTGGCATTGTACGTTTCTGTAAACAAGATATGTTACATGTGCATGTTTCATACATATCATATTGACGTTTCTAAAGTGACATGGTATATAAGCTCACTTTGTCATCTGGAGGTGGAGGAGATAGTGGAGGGCACGTGACACCTAGGTGAGATGCGGGACATGGTGCAGAACACTGCAGACCACCGTTCAAGACCAACAAAACTGACTGACTTAGCAAGTCAGTGCTGTGTTTCTAGTAAGGATAGACCGATACATCGGCCGGCCGATATATCGGGCCGATATTTGAGTTTTTTACTTGTATCGGCATCAGCCGATACACGCGTGGGTTCGCGGATTTATTTTTCCCTGGCATGATTTACAGACAGGCATCCACGGGCAGCTCTGTGTTGCCAGAAGACCCTGCAGTGCACATGCAATGAATCCTACTGTGTACAGTAGTTGTTGTTTTATTTATGCTTCAGCTTAAATATTTGTTTATTTTTATAAAGACATTACTGGAAGATTTAAGAGCACTGAACTCTTTTTTTTATTTGAATGTATAATAATAATAATAATAATAATAATAATAATATTCTACCTGTTCTACCTCAACTTTCCATCTTGTTTTAGTATTTTTTACTGTTCAATAAATGTTTCTTATTTTAAACTGTAATATTTGTTATCATTGTGTCATTTTTTTGATGTAAATTGAGGGAGCAAAAGCAGTATAGGCCCCAAATATCGGCTCAAGAAAATCGGCAGTCCATAATCGGTCATCGGCTAAAGGTGATGGAAAAAAAATCTGTATCGGCATCGGCCCTAAAAAATCCATATCGGTCTATCTCTAGTTTCTAGAGGCTTTTTAGGCACTAAACAGGGGTGTTTTGTAGCGCTGTGTTTGTTTGTTTTTTGCTGATAGAGGCACAAAAAGCGGTTGTTTTTTGTCAAGACATCAATGCATTTCCTGCAGGGATAGTGGCACAAAAAGCTCTTGTTTTTTTGCTGAGACATCAGTGTTTTTCCTGCAGAGACTGGCACAAAAAGCTTTTTTTTTTTTTTTTTTTTTTTACACACATCACTGCTCTTCCTGCCAGGATACAGGCATGAAAAGCAGTTATTTTTTGCTGAGACATTGCTGCTTTTACTGACAGGACATAGGCACAAAAAGTGGCTATTTTTTGCAGAGACATCGCTACTTTTCCTGTCAGGATAGTGGCACAAAAAGCGGTTGTTTTTTGCTGAGACATCACTGTTTTTCCTGCTGGGACAGAGGCACAAAAAGTGGTGGGTTTTTTTTACCAAGACATTGCCGGTTACCTTGCCAGGATAGTGGCGCAGAAAGCAGTTGTTTTCACCGTGACATAGCTGCTTTTCCTGCTGCAATTGTGACCCCCAAACTGGGTATTTAAAGCAAAACATGACTTTTCCCAACCATTACCAAGTGTTTTTTGTGCCTAAACCTAACTACATGTCCGCTACATAATAATGTGCAAATGTAACATATCTGTGGTTGTAGAAATGTAAAATGCCAACATTTTTCTAGCGATTGGTTTGGAACTTATATAGATGCAGATGTGAATGCAGTTTGTGAGCTTCAAGAAGTTATCACTTTTGCTCCTATACAGTTTAAGTGATGAGAGTAACAAGATTTAAATATATAAAACAGCTAACATCATGGCATGTTAACAAAAACAAGACATTCTTCAATTTGGTCCGCTAGTGATCTAAAAACATTTGCGGAACACATCTAGAAGAAATCAGGGTGTATTTCAAGCTTGTTTTGGTCCCATCTGTTTATGCCCCATTGATGAAACTTGGAGCATTATGGAAAGAACATGAATCCATGTGTGGCCAGAAGACAAGACTAGAGAATGAGTGTGCCATGTTGAAAAAAAAATGTAATCGTACACATTCAAGACAATGCTCCTCAAATGCACCAAGCAGATCACACCTCAGAGACTGCTGCTTGTAGCCAATCAGATTTGTTTAAAATGGGTTTGTATTATGTCACAATTCAGTAATAAGTTACTCTCCATACTTTGTTTTACATTTACATGCACACTAATATTCCACTATTATTCCAAATATGACAATATTCCAAATATTATTTGGGTCATGTAAACAGTATAGGCATTTCAAATGAAGCATTTTACAATATGTTGGATATGCTGATTTTGGGTTTTGATAGCATTCTTGTGACATGTGTATAGCACATTCAGAATATATGTCTCAATTTGGATTTTTACTGCAGTTGCTGACAAACAGCCTCTTGCCTGTGGGGTGAAGATGCATGCCCAAAAGAAAAGCCCACATGTGTGCTTGGAAGGAGAAACACAACTTCTTTAAACAACATGAAAAACTTGGCTATTAGCAGATTTTTGGATATGCGAAGCCAACCTTTTTAAGAAAGAAGATGGAAGCTGTGGTTGGAAAAGTCTACCACTGGTTGAAAACTTTAAAGAATCCTAGCACAACCGCAGCCGTTCCACTTTCCCATATTTTGACATGACAAACAACATGTTAATCGAAGTATGCACGTAAACAGCTATAGTAGCAGAATATTAATTTTCATTAGCTACATGAGAAGCTTAGTAGGAATAAAAAACAGAATATTTTGTGCATGTAAACTTTGTTATTAATGCAGTTAAACTGGCAGACCATTACTGGAGAATGTATCACGTACTTTGATCAAGAAAAGTGAAAATAGGTTTGGTTTGTAGAAGCATTTGAGAAGACTAATGCCATAAACGAGCTACAAACCAAATTCTGCTGTTATAATTTTATCATAACATTAAGAAAAGGGAGCGCTTGTTCAGCTTGCAAGCAAGACTGGGTTGGCATTGTGTGTATGGCATCTGGTGGCAAGTGTTCAACTGTAGGCTTCTGGAATTTATATTTTCCTATAAATCTAGCATGTATATTGTCCTGTATAAAAAGCGCATTTGACACCAAGGGTATTTTTGATACAATACTTCGAAATCTTTGGTATCCAGTCTACTGTGCAAGTTTGGTGTTGCGATACCTTTCTTGTGCTTAAGTATTGGACAAACCCCAGTGTGGCCGAAAAGAAATGCAGGCATTTACTGAACATAGACAAAACAAGTAGACTTGAAGTGCTAGTTTGCCTTCCTATCTGCTCCGAAACCTCATTTTCTACCAGTCCATCAGTGTGATCGAATGTGTGTTAATTTCCAGGAGCCACATATTCAGGGTTGGTGAAGGAGAAGCCGAGGAACTCGTCCTGGTCCAGGTTCATGATGACGAGCTTGTCTGTCGGCGTCAAGTCCACCGGCATCTTGGTGAACTCCTTGTCAAAGTTACAGGTGTCCCGACGGTTTCTCTGCAGGAGGCATTAATGAGATTATGAAGGAGAGAGGGCATGATGGGAGGAAGAATTGAAGAGAAGGAGGACGGATAAAAAATGGTTGGAGGGGAATGGGATGGATTGGAAAGAAGAAGAAGAGAAAGCATTACTGTTAGATATCGAGTACAGTATCATCTGCATAGAAGAGGAAGTCGTCTTTGTTTGGACTTTGCCTTCATTCATGGTAGAGCTACATATTTTCAGATTGTTTAGTTATACAGTGTAGTTACAGTTTCTATACAAAGGTCTTTGGCTTGTAGTCATGTTTATTATTTTTAATTCAACTGTATGACTGACAAATTGACTTATATTTGATAATGACTGTGACTATCGTTGTCACAGTCTGGCTCTGTATCCAGGAGCCCTCAGACTGTTTGTGAAGAGTGAACTGGACTGTGGACTGAGTTGTATCTGGCATTATGTCATTTAAAGCTGGCCTTACACCAAATTACTTTTTAAGCAAATTTACTGTGGCAGACACATTTCAAGTGTCGGAAAAAATGATGAAAGCTTTACCTCAGTTCATGCACGCTCCCCTAATCTTGATTGTCATTTGGTGTAAGGTGTTCCTAAAACTCAGTCTAAGCTGTCTTGAGTCTTTTTCTCATCTTGACATTCTGACAAAATCATACATATTTAAGATTATCCTAAGTTTTTCAGTTTTGTCTCATGCAAATAGTTTGATGACTTGAACATTGTGAGCAACCAATAGCTGCACTCTCTCCAGCACCAAAAAAGAAGCAGCAAACCAGGTAGACAGTAAACATGGAGGGGACTCCAGGGAGTTGTGGAGTGAATTGCGTAAGAGAAGGAGAAACTGGTGGAGTTGTGGAGTGAACGAGAGCCTGTGTTTCACTGAGTGAGTTTGCATCTCATTACCATCATGGTCTCCTCTCACTAAAATAATGCAGCTATCCAACAGCAGCTGGAGGCAAGTTGAAGCAACAAAACCAAAAATGTATGCAAAGTTTGTAAGCAAATACAGTTTATCTTCATCTGATGCTGAATTGATAAGAATACTGCCGACATGATGCCTTTTATGTTGTGTTTCTGGAGTGATTGTGGAGTTTGGTGTAATATTTACCAAGAGCAGGATGGGAAATAATCTCAAAAAGAATCTACTTGCAAATAGTGACCCTGCAGGATTCATAGTCTTTGCAAAATCTTACAGTGTGGGACTGAAAACCCACACTGTCTTCAGATGGGAGAGGATGTCAGACTGTAGTCTTTTCAAAGTCTTCTAGCATATGGTAGAAGTTCCCTATTTTATTAAATTAGTCTGTCTATTTTTTTTACTCTGGTCTGAGCTCACAAAGCTATACTCAAAGGACTTTGTTTTCTTGGTTTTTGGTTTTCAGTTTGCTTTGTTTTTCTCCTGTGTTCTTGAGCTGCCTTTCCTTCCTTTGTCCATCCACACACCTGCTTTGAATCAGCATCGTTGGTCCTTCCCTGCTCCCAGAGCTTTTCCCAGCCAATCAAGCCGATCTCCTGCCTGATCACCTAATTCCTCTCACCTGAGCTTCTCCGTGCTTCTCTCCACCTGCACTTCATCCCCTCGTCAGATTAGTTAGGCGCGATCGAATAGTCCTTTTTGCTTAGGAAGCTTCCTAAGTGAATGAAATGATCCGGAAGTATCTAAGTGCCTGCCATGATAAGAGCTCTTTGAATCCTCTTAATATTAAAGAAAGGTGCTTCAGTGCTTTTTTTTAAAAAATAATAATAAGTCAAGTATTCAACCACAGCCCTGGTTTTCAGTTCAGTCTTCGTTGGATACTTGGCTTTATTCTGTTATGATCAGATTTGCCTTGCCTGCATAAACCTTGAATAAAAAGTTTTTTCTTCAGCTTCTTGTTGCCTGCAGTTTCCTGTGCTTGGTCCAAGTGCTCCACTCGTCACGACAATTGTTAGACATGTAGTTTAGCATTTTGGGAAACACACACTTATTTGCTTTATTGCAAAGATTTAGATAAAAGAATCAATACTAATCTTATATCATTCTCTTCAATGTGAAGCTGGAGCCAGCAGCCAATTTTCTTAGCTAAGGACCGGAAACGGGGGAAACAGCTTGCCTGACTGTCTGAAAGTAATTAAATCAACCTGGAAGGTGCTGGAAGGTGGATATATCTAGGTTAGCAGCTTCCCCTGATTCCAGTCTTTATGCTATGCTAAGCTAAGCTAATCGGCTGCTGGCTGTAGCTTCATATTTCCATTAAGACGACTGGCTTTGAAAGTCTTGATGCTACAGTATTTTAGCCTACTTTGATTTTCTTTTGCTGATTAAAGAATGTTTTCAAATGAGCAAATGCAATGCTACTGTAAATATGCTGCATTGTATATACAGAAATCTGTCACAATGCCACCAAATCTCCGCAAATTTATCATAAACACAATAGATAAATTAAACAAAAAGGTCATTCATTTGATGGAAAGCCAATCATAGGGGTGTCCTGATGTACCAGTATTGATGACAACCATGATATTTAAAAAGTGTTGATATAACATTAATAAGTAGTAAGTAGATGACAGATGGGAGTGAGATACTCTACCCTAACCGAGAAAAAAGTTAGCTCAACATTTCTATAGATATTGCGATGATATTGTTATTGTAAATTATTTTGGCCATGATAATCATATAGTAAATCTGATATTGTGCCAGCCCTGGTAAACACCTGTAAAGTTTTTTGTTCTGTATCTCATGACATTGCTGTTTCTGATCCAATAATTTCTTAAAACACATACCATCTCCATGTGCCCTCTGGAAATGGTATTTGCACTATCTGATTATGCAGGAAGCTCTAGCTGTCAACACTACCACATATTACGTATATAGGTGGTTTTCAAACTTTTTGTGCCCAATGCACACCAAGGGGCAAGCCAAAATTTTGAGGAATAGCTATAACGTGTTATCTTTCTCTCACGACATAAGACTATAAAAGAATAAAAATAAAACAAGTGGTTTCGTGATACTGTCTACTGACAGTTTCTTTTTCTCTTTTCTCAGTCCTCAGTGTTACTTTATTTCTCACCTGAATATCCAATCTCTCCAGTTTCGTCTAACCAGCTATGCTCTCTTTTTAACATTATCTCTATAATGCCAGGATATTTTTACAGCTCAACAATGAGCCTCAGCTTGTCCACTGTGACAGGTACAAGACTACAGAAGACATACCACACCTGACAGGGAAAGATGTAGGCAGAGTTGCCTGGCTGTACAAAAATGCTGCTTTTTCTGGAGTTTCACCACTGAAAATAGGACAGTGGTGTGTTCTGTCTGCCTGCTTTGCTGCTGATGCTAGTGTGTGGGTTTATATGGAAAATAACAGGAACGAACAGAGTGCCTTCCTCTTGTCCTGTCTTTGCTGTGATGGTCCTTTTTGTTTATGCTAAGATGCCACAAGTAATACCTGTATGAATGTTGGCAGATGAAAGTAAGATAAAAAAAAAGGAAGTTAAAAAAGATACATGGATATAAAGAAAGAGAAAGAGATAATTAGACGTCTCATAGTTTGAATAAAGTACAACTTAAGTATCAAAATACTGACAGTGGCAGGCAACCTATTCTAGAAAGATCTCAAAACAGAGGTAAAATAAAAAGACATATTAAATATATTCAAGGATGAAGTGGGAGAGTGAGTAAGTAAGTGCAGAGGAGAGTCAACACTAAGAGATAGAAATGCTAGGCGACATGAATGAAGACAGGAAAAAACGAGGGACACTGGAGTACAGGCAGCAGCAACTGTGACTTTGTGTAGGAGGTGAGGGAAATCTCCGTGTGTATGTGAGTGTGTGTTAGTGGAGGGTTTCTCTGGGGCAGGGCATTGTTAATGCTCGGCTCAGTTGGTGGATGGACAGAGAAAGAAAAGAGCGAGCTGGGTGTTAAAGATGGAGGAGTGTATGTTAGTGCGTGGGGGAGGGGCAAGTTAGATGCGGTAAGTGAGCGGCTGCCATTTGATTCACTGACACTGACATACTCATCCTGTTGGTGAATTAATTCTTATGGGGGTTACCCATGCTGCAGGCATTCATGGCGCTGTAAGGCCCTATGTATAGGAGCAAACATATACATACATGCATACATACATACATATATACATATCACTGTATGCCATATAAGGCCTGTAGGATGTTCTTCAAAGAAGGAGAGTAAGGAGTAGCACAGACTGTGTGTGTGTTGTAATGTGATTGTGTTTAAACTGGTGAAGCAGGATTGGTTCGGGTGTTTTATACCTCATGTCCAGGGCACATACAGATGTGCAATATCTGTCATTCAATTTTGTTTGTGTGCGTAACAAATCGGGCTGTTCTCATGCACTGTTCATACGTATACCTATGATACCTATGTGAAACCTCCATCACATGACCAACATGCTGACAGGAGTAAAGAATGAAGTAATATAAAGAGCGAAAGTCCGCATTAGGAGGCAGGTTGGGGCGGTGAGTAGGTCAAACAAACACACGACTTTCCCTCAGGAGACCGATGTTTGTATCCCATGAAAAACCAAGTGAACTTTGAGTTGTTTAAGGTAAACTATGCGACTTTATGTTAAGTATGTAACGTTACATTATGTATGTAACGTGACAGGACTCAATCATGTTTCTTTTCCTAAACCTAACCTACATAACTTCACTTTCCGAAACCTAACCTATATGTAACTTCACCTTCCTAAGCTTAACCTACATAACTTTACTTTTGAGAAACCTAACCTACATAACTTTACTTTCCGAAACCTTACCTACGTAACTTTACTTTCCTAAGCTTGACCTACATAACTTTACTTTCGAGAAACCTAACCTATGTAACTTTACTTTCCGAAACCTAACCTATATGTAACTTCACCTTCCTAAGCTTAACCTACATAACTTTACTTTTGAGAAACCTAACCTACATAACTTTACTTTCCGAAACCTTACCTACGTAACTTTACTTTCCTAAGCTTGACCTACATAACTTTACTTTCGAGAAACCTAACCTACGT